AAATAGATGATTTTTGTCCATTTTAAGAGGCTTTGAAACCACTCTTACCCCATCACCTTGATTTCAATCCGTTCCATCTTTATCTCCTTCTTACATACCAATCATTTCTCATCTTCCCACACAACATCTGCAATTTTGTTCCACTTCTCACTAGAACTTACAATTTCAGTGAACTACATTGGTCTGATCCCTCGTCGGAGGGTATGTAGGCAGTCCCTTCGAGGGTCCAACCACTTGTTTCTCCCCCCATCCCCCTTTTTCCCCTTTTCGATTTAGCCAATTCCTTCGGACCTTGAGGTAAGACCACCTCACATCATAGGCCTTACATATTGATTTTGGATTAATAATAAAGGGAGACTGGTATTTATCATTTTTGTGTTTTTCAAATTCATAGAAAGTTGTAAAACAATGCAATGCTTAAGAACTAATTTGTTATGTTAAATTAGGATTCGACTATGATATAGAAAAAAGATGATATCCGAAAAAACAATTGATCAATAAACCGGAATCATAAATGTGGTAACAAAGTGTTATTTATCAAAATTCATGGGTGGGTTTTGATTGGTTAAAACTCTTTCCATACCTATCTTTCCTCCATTATAGATTTTTCCGTTAAATTATAAACGATTAAAACACCACAACCTAATCTAATTTAAGGGTGTCAATGGACCGGTTTTGGACTGGACCCTGTCCAATCCAAAATCAATTTGGACGGATTGGATGGACCAAAAAAACATAGTGGATTGGATCAATTCGGTCCAAAATATTTATTAGATTGGACTTGACCTGGTCCGTCCGTAATAAGTTGATATTGAATTTGGTTGGATTAAGCCAATATCTGGTCCATTGATATAAGATAAGAATATAGGTGTCAATGAACCGAGTTTGGGTTGAAACCAATCTAAATCAAAATGAATTTGAACAATTTGGATGGTCCGAACATTGAATTGGACCGATCCAAAATGGCCCAAATTATTCATTGGATTGGATTGGACCTGATCCATTTGTAATATATTGGACTGAATCGGATTGGATCAAATCCAGTCTAATCGACACCCCTAGTCTAATTCAATTCGATGCATACACGAGTGAAACACCCCTAACCCCCCACAGGCTTGGAAGCATAAGGTATAGTGTATCTTCCTCTAATGGATCTCTATCAATAAGGATAGCAATTAACTTATAAGTTGAATTTCACTTCTTTTTTCAAACAATGTGAGAAAAGATAATTTAACATGCATGCTTCAAACGATTGGAATAAGAGGAAAAAAAAACAAAAGACAAAAATACAAAAGCTTTTTACACCAATAAAACCATGATGACGTTAGTTATATTCATAAGTTACTGTCCCGGGGTCCAAGATGTTTTGTAATCGGTATGATCAAATCAACATGAAGGGCATCTGGATAAAGATTTCTGTTCAAAATTGCATATATTTCCAATGCAACCGTTTAACAGCTAGCAGAGCGTCAGCCTGCGTTTAGGGGTGGCGTCGGCGTCTACTCCGGGGCCAGGCTCCAGCTCCCTCCCTTAATACTTATTTGGTTTTATGGCATCATGCTTTTTAGCAAACTACCAAGACACGGAAAGACAAACAGAAACCACACACCGACACGCCCAACCAACCTCCCGTGTCCATCAGCCTTACCCATACACGTTTCAATTCCTTTCTTTCTTCTTCTTCATTACCTATTTTTACTACCTACAACCAACAATCAACAAACCCAAACCAAAACAATGTTTAGCTTTGTTTATTTCAAATAATAAATAAAGAAAAAAACACAAGTCAGCGATCTTCCAAACCTTCTCTCTCTCTCTATATGTATACTCTGGAGTTTGGATGAAAACTGGGATTGCCCCTCGTCAAATTAACCGAATCCCATTGTATGACAGTGTCATCTAATCACACGAATGCACTTGGATATAATTAATACATTAATTTATTTTTTATACTTAAATTTACCTTATATTTTTTTTTCACGTAGAAAAATATTCCAATATACCAATTCAAAAAGAAAAAAAAAAAAAAAACAAAACTTATCATCATAAGACCACAAGATTGTAAAAGAACTATTTGTAATATTTATTTCCTTTTACTTTTTAATAATAATAATAACTATTACTACTACTACTACAACAATTAAATTTTATTTTTATTGGCTTTAGATGCGATACAGGTCAATAACATGAATATTATATCATGCACAGGACACTTTTCCAGCTATTGGTTATACATTGACCCCAGACATTTCATTATAAATTTAGATTTAGGTAATCCGCCAAATCGTAGTGCCTAATACCCTAATTTATATTTAACTGGTGCCTCTCTAAATTAGAAAGAGAATTGGTTCTTTTAAGGGATGAAGGTTTAAGTGGACCCACAATTTATTCGTTATAATAAAATAAAAGCAGTATATTAAAGAGCATTATGCTGTATGCAATTGCCATGCATCATTCCCATCATCACCATAATAATTAATTGTTCATAAGGCTTATTTATATTTGAAAGGAAAGTGTAAAATTTTGTATTTTATATGTATTTATATCATACATATTTGTAAAATTTTGTTCTTTTTTCGAGTTTCTAAATCATCTTATTAACCACAAAAACTTAACGACTACCGTCAAGGCGTCAACCTTATTATTTATAATTCATAGATAAAACCAGTAGATATATATATATATATTAATGCGTGGAACATTTGTCTGTCTGGCTGACATGATAGAAATGTCGTCGTCCTCTCAAGTCTCACCTCATATGATAGTTTGTTAATGCATCTATACAAAGAAAATAGTCCCACTGTCCATCACCGCCACAAACTTCTTTACAGTTGACATTGCAGAGGATCCCCTGAACGAGCGTGTCCGCGCCATCTGTTAAAAAAAACAACATATATAGTACTATGTATTTGAAATTGTACATTAGTATTATATATTTTAAGCCAGTTTCATTTTAATACCCAAATTTTAAAATATCTCATTATAATATCTGATTTTTTAAAGGAAACAAATATCCTTTCAGTTTTGAATAGGGAAGAGAACCATCATTTTGAAGAATGGTTTTAAAAAACGACTCGCAATTGGACACCGGTTTCTGGGTTGACAGTTCGATCATTCGGTTTTAATAAAATTTAAAAAATATAAAATATAATAAAAAATAAAAAATGGCTAAAAATTATTGAACGGGTCGACGGATTGATGGTTTAACCGCCCATATCAATGGATTATTGACTAATTCAATAATTTTTTTTTTCCAATAACTAGGTTTGGGGTAAAATAGAACCGGTTGCTTGAACGATTCCTGGGCTGAACAGTCTGACTGTCCAAGTTAATCGAAGTTCGAAAACCATATTTTTAAATGCCCAAAATAGTCACGTTCAAATATGTGTGGGCACCAATGTTCACTTTATGTCCTAAAAAAACATCATCAAAAGAAGCTAATAAAAATGAGGGATTTAGACTACTATCCTAATCCTCTTTTTAGTTACACAATCATTAACAAAAAGAGGTTTAGACTTTAGACCGCTATTTATCGTTGGAAAAAAAAAATGAATAACTCTTGCCATCAAGATAAAATGGTTTAAAAAATATTAAAAGGATAATTTTGATATTTTTGAAATATTTAAGTTACATATGACATTCTGACCAATTAATGACCATGGATATTGATATGGCCAAAACCAACCAATAGTCATGCTGGGGTAAAATTGTTAAGCAACATGTGGTCGAGTTGATTAGAACATTAATGTCATGCAGGTTTATTGCCTACCACGTGCATACAACATGTACACAACATGTCAATCAAGGGCACGGCAAGTGGATCGAGCTTTGACCACGTGTGAGATATATTGTCTTTTAGATGAAGCCCCTCTTTCATATAAATAGGTGAGCCCCCATTCATTTGGGACATGCAATATTGCATTATGCTACTATGTACAAGACATGCTAGACACCTTCTCCAGCTCTCCATAAGAGCTCTCACCTCATCTCACTAAGTTCCTTGGCTCACCTTCTCTTCCCTTGGAATATCACTTGGGGCCTTTAACGTCTTTCTTTGGTTACATACCTCTCTTAGCAGCTATGGTGCCAAGTCGAAGTGACACTTCGAGCCAAGATCTCTCTTAACAGAAGTGGTCTCGAGCCGAGGCAACACTCTATTCCAACAACTTTTCATCTTCATCCATGTGCCCAATTTTAATCAACACTATAGGTGGGGGTGGATTCGAGCCGAGCCGAATAGTATGAGGCTCGAGCTCGGCTCGAGACTATTCTACAAGGCTCGAGCTTGAGCTCGGCTTGAGACTATTCTATAAGCCTC